GGGGGCCATTAATACAGTTGATTGGCATGGGGATTGGGCCTCAGGAGGTGAGGGACATGTAGGCTCTGCCCAAGGAACACACACATTGTGGGACACTGGACAGGTTTAAATTAAGGAGCCAAGGTATGTGAACTGTTAAAGAATACCGCTTGCCCTGTAGCCCTCTTGTCCCTCGTTTGTGCATGACCTCACGGCACAGGTAGATTTTCTGTGCTCTTGCTGTCGGCAGGCAGATCTCATGCTTTGGAGAGATTTCTTGGCATGTCAGACCAAATTCTGCCTAGCCACAAAAGATGAGATAACCATCTCAGACCCTCTTTGCCTATCATAGACCTCCTCACACCGTTTCCTTCTTCTAGAATTTCCCAAGAAATTCAGTTAATTTCAATGACTGCTGTTTATTGTGCATACATGATGCAACTCTGTGGATTTAACAGTTGCATTTCCCAGAATTTATTACTATTCCCCAGTCCCTTTTGCCATGTGCTTGTAGTGGCATCTGTTGTCCTTTCCTAGACAGGAGAAAATAGAAGATTTGACAACACTTTTATTGGTCTTGCAGTGAACACACCGGCCCTTCTTCTAGGTTCAGATAATATATAAGGCTCGACAAAGTCACTGGCTTGTTGTCAGCCTGTAGCAAGGATGCTAACCTGTGCCAGCCCTCTGGCAAGCCCTCAGGACTTCAGATGGAGCTACAAGCTGATGGATTCATCAGGTAAGGCAAACACCAGACACATGCAAACTGGATGCTCTAAACGGCCATATTACAGCCTCTTCCACATTCTCCCCTGAGTTGTAGGCAAAAATCTGTTCATTGCCTAGCAGGAATCAAAGATCAGGGAAGCAAGTGAACATCTCATGCAGGAGCTCTTAGACAAAACAAAATGCTTTTGCTATCCTGTCACATATTCCTGGCACTGTCCAAAGAGCATCATTGCACTTAGAAGTAGTAAAGCATACACAAACATCAGTGTGATGCAAATAACCTCTTCTGAGGTCTACATAGCCCAAAGTGTCCTCTTTGAGCTGTGAAAAAGAGGCAAAAGGTTTGCCAGGCTGTTACTAGACATGATGAAACTACTTGCCTCTGACATGAAAAATACCTCAGGCATCTGTGACAACATGTGACTCAGTTGCACAATTGCCATTGAGGCTGTCTTAGGACAGACATCAAGGTGCTAATGTGACCCAAGGCTCTGAGTCAATCCGTGGTATGTCTTCCTTTAACTGCTGAGCACAGTTTTGTGTGTGTACATATGTGTTTACCTGAGAGCAGAAAGAACTATACTGATCTTGTCTTGATGGAACAGCTAATTTCCAGGGAAGGGGCAGGTTGTACTCATCCTGTGTACACAGTGACATCTAGAAACTGGCCTGCTTCACAGCACTGGAGGTATCCTTTTTATTCTCTCCATACTACCTTGTTATCTCTGCACCAACCTTGTTTATCAGTGGTTCTACCAGTATGATGCAGCTTCGTGACAATGCCAGAAATTATTTGAATTGCCACTGAAAGTGGCTGTGGTATAAAGGTACTTATTATATCACTGCTGACAAGCTGAAAGACTGAACACTCAGTGGTAGAACTGGTGAATTATGGGATGGAAAACTAGGCAATAAGGTGTGTAGAAAATTGGGTGGACTGTTGGGCTCAGAGGGTTGTGTGAGTGCTGCTAAGGCCAGCTGGCAGCCAGTAGTCAGTTGAGTCTCTCAGAGGTGAGTCTCCTCCAGAATTTCCACAGGTCTGCTCATATTCTGCTTTATGCTTCCCGTGCTCATTCACACCTCAGCAAAATGAAAGCAAAATCCTCCTTGTTGCTAGCCTCTATGCTGATGCATTTGTGTACTCTGGCTTTCGAAGTTTTGTTACAAACAAGTCAGAATGCTGACTCCCAGGATCTCCAAGCTAGTTCACATGGATCACAGTGCTGGCACTCTGCTACCCTTTCTGATGGCAGAGCAGCCCTCCTTTGATGTGATGCCAGCTGTGAATGGCAGTTTAATGGGGCTGGGCATGAGGCAATGCTGCTAAAAGCAGTGTTAACTTTGACCAGAGATGGTTCTTTGAGGATGATGGTGTCTGCCACCACCTGAATTTTTCTGTGGGTCATCTAAGGCTTTCTGAATTAGCAGATTTCTGCTGTGGGCAGATGGCAGCACACGTGCCACAGCCAGCCCAGCGCTGCAGCCTTGTCGGGAAGTCTGGTGCACCTGCACCACAGCCCTCTGCAGCAGGGGAAATCCCCACTGGCTAAAGGCTAGTAGGGTTACCCTTATTAGCTTTGCCTCTGCTCTTACTGACTGGTTTGGTATCTCTTTGTAACTGCAGGGAACAGTGGACTCTCAGTTATCTCCAAATAAGAGACTTAGAAATATATTAGTCATCCTTAATCGTAGAGAAAGGCTAATATAAATGAAAAAGGTCATGGCACCATTGAACAAGTGACAGAGAGGAACAAAACCTCTACTGGTTTCTTTTCTTCCCTGGCTGTGGGACATTTTAAAGATTACTCAAAAGTATCTCAGATCTCCACCAGACTTTCTCCAACAGTTCCTAGAAATATCTTTTATTCAGATTACCCAGCACTAAAGCCATTTGGAGAAATGTTTGTGCTATTATGGACAGTTTAATCCATAATCAATGTGATTAATGAGACCACTGAGAGACCAAATAAAGTTGGGTATGCTTCTTGTAGGAAACATGTTTTTTATCTTTGTGGTACAAATTTTCTTCATTCTTTTTCTTAGAATAGTGTGAGAGAACAGAAGTGTCTCAGTTTGAGATCTAATCTGCTCTGCCTTTGCAGGAAGTTGCAAATGTCTTGAACAAGCTTTCAGTTGACACATTTTTTTCTAAATAAAAAGCGCTTTGGACAAAGCCTTGCTGATTAGAGACAGGAGTGATTAAACAACAGCTCATCGCCTTCATTCCCAGCTAGTTAACCTTACACCTTTATCCTCTTGCTATCAGCCCAAGTTAGGCAGAGTTTAATTCTTGTAAAATAAAGCAGCTGTTGGGTATTTTGCTTTGTTGAAAACTTTGCCTATCTCACTGTAACTAGTTAGGGAGACCTATTTTTGTTTGCAAATCTATGTAAATTAACATTTTTTTCAGACTATTTTTATCAGGGTGCATCTCTAGTCTCTGTAGTTATTAGTCCTTGACCCAGCTAACTTAGACGTTTCTTGACAGTTGTAATCATATTTAAACTCACCTCAATATATTTTTACAGGTTCAGCAATTTAACAAGTGTCTAGATAGAAGCAACCTGAAGACTAAGAGTCTCTGCTGCAAAAGCCAAAAGATAAGCCCCTCTTAGAGGAATTCAAGCTAAATTTAGTCTTTCACTAGAATGAGGTGTTGAGAGAAGCCAATCCAAATACATTATTTCAGAAGTTGTCTTATTAAGCAATGTCAGTACTGCATGTCATGACACACTACTGGCTAGAAAAGCATTAAGAACCAAATAGAGCTGCTTGATACAGGTTCTCACATCCTACATCCCATCAAGGGATTCTGCATCCCCACCATGCCTGGCAGTATGGGGTTATTGCTGCTAAATGATAATGATTGTTGCCAGTAGAAAAAATAAGTTAAAACCAGAAACAAATCTTGGTAGCTTCCTTTCTGGTTTATTTTTCTAAACAGTTTATTTAATCCAAATCTTTGAAACCTGGTTAATGCAATTTTCTAAAGTTGCTGTTTTTATACAGCAGCCTTCAAAGCAGATCTGTTTATTAGGAGTATGACAGCAGTAGTCATTTGAGGTGTCATGAAAAGGACAGAAAGCATTTACATAGGGAAAAAAAGAAGAAAAGGAGAAAAGCTTTCCATTTGTTTATATCTTCTTCAGAAATACTCTTTTTGGGGTGAAACTTTCTATTTCATTTCTTCTGAAGGTGATTTTCTTTCAAAGTGAAAGGAATATGTGGAAACCTTTTAACATAAATGTAAAATGCCTTAAATTATGAAAATTATGTGACTAATGAGTGAGCAAAAAGTCTCCCTATTGATTTGATACACAGATTATTATGCATGCTAAAAATGCTCAGTGGAGTTTCCATTTACAGTGTTAGTCTTAGAAGACAGCAGTCTTTGAAATGTAATGACCACATTAAAAATCAAGTAGTTTTTAAAGGGCTTAAACACATGATTCTGTTTATTATTGAAGAAAGTACTCTAAAAGAAGACAAGGCAGTTAAAATGTGTATTCCAATGTGAAATATCCTGGGAAAAGACAATAAAATCTCATATGAAAGACAATAGTGAACACTAACCATTTTAGCTTTGGAGTTATGTATACTAACAAATACTCTATTAACAAACTTCACACCACGCACAAAAGGCAACAGCTTCACAAAAAAATAGCATAAAAGCATAGCATTGATACTGATTTCTTTTTTTTTCTTCTTCAAGCTTGCATTTTCTATAATGCTTGGGACAAATGAGAACACGTGCAAAAATAACCATAAAAAAATTGGACTGCATAAGCCATTCAGATGGCTGTGTTCTTCTAAAGGATAAGGAACACAGAGAGCTGGATTCAGATTCACCCTACAGTTTTTTCATGCCTCAGGATAAAGTACAGGAGACGATAATCTACTTTAGAGCTCATTTTGAGGAAGAGTGGTATGAAACAGCTTTAATATTAATGAGAATTAGCTTGATACTTTTCAAAGTAGGGTGTGAATGCATCCACTTTTTTATTATCATGATGTATCAATGAAAATACATTCTGTACATATATTAGCAAAACACAGCTGAAAAGAGAGAAGGTGTGATTAATCCATACATTTTAAAAATAAATACGTACAATATTTACATTTTGGGCAGTTCCAGAAATGAACATCTCCAGATTATGAACCGAAACCTAAAAATTCTCTATTATTATAGAAAATGCATTCTCTGTACAAATATTTATAAATACTTATGTATAAACTTTTTCAGTGAAATGTCTGCAGATTCATTGAAAAGAAAAACATGAGATATTTTTCTATCAAATGTCCACATAGTAAACAGTCTAGAGCATCATGCATCAGACAAAAGTAGATTTTCAGTGTTGATAAAATTTTGTGTTCTGCTTCTGTGCCATCACACTGACAATTCTGGATGTCTTTTCTGAAAATCTGCAGAAAAGCAGCAAGACTGAATCAGTTTCACTCAGTGATTGCTATCGACTGCACCATGTCAGACAGGGCTTCCGGGTCTGCTTCTTCTTTACCATTATCTGAATTTTCTGATGAGATGTAACAGCCAGAATCTCTTGGACAGTCATTTAACTGTGATTTGTCAAAGCCATGATGAGGGCTTATGCTCTGTGTCTCCTGACCATCCTCACTTTTCTGCTGTTGTTCAGCTAGCAAGAACAGAAAAAAGAAAGAAAAAATTGTCAAAATAAGTGTCATGGGA